TCTGAGGATGGAGCCCTTGTCATGCTTGTACTGACAGTTTATGTACATTTCCTCCACTCCCAATGCCGTAAGGGACAGGTCCCATTCTCAGTAGCTCATTAAGAAAAGAGAAACAAAATTGGGAGGCCAGATGGAAGGGGTGTGCAGGTGGGGTGGAGCGTGAGAATCAGGCCTGTCACTAGCTGTGAATTCATTTTCCGAGCCGGGGATGGATGAAGGTGCTAAACTTGCAGCCAGAGGCGGAAGAATGTGAATGGACACCAGTATTCGTTGAAGTCCATACCAGTGCCTTCGGGGCGCTGGTTTCTGTAGCGGAGATTGCCTGGCAGAGATGAGCAGAATCACAGTTGAGGTGCTTGGAGGCTGTGGCTGTTAGAAAGGACTCCCTGAGGGGACTTCTGTCCTGCTACCACCCCACTTAGCAGGATGTCAGGTCAGGAAACCTCGTGGTGAAAGGGCCATTGCTGGGTGTGCAGAGATGACCTCCGTGTAGAGATAAGTCATGAAAAGGACCCAGCACCGGGGCTGGCAGGTGCCAACACGTGAAGCGAGAACCCTTTTGAAATGGTGACAGTGGTGGTGCCCAACAAGGGTGTCGCCTTGGAGCAGTCACGAAGCAGCATTGTTTGGGGGACAAAGTAAATGAGGGGAAGGCTTCCTACAGCTGCAGGCCTGGTGATGATCAACCATCAGGGCCCTTGTCGTTTCTTCCCCTTGCTAAGTCTCACATCGAAGCTCAGGACCTGTGTGGCTCCGGCAAACACCCCGGTTCCCAGTCTGCTGCCGCTGCTGCTGCTGCGTCTTCCCTCCTGTCTCCCCCAACCCCGACTGAACTCAGCCAGGGAGTGAGTCCATTTATTTTGCTGAAAGCGTGCATCCCCCTAGAGACGATAGGATCGTGCTGTATTCAGACAGCTGTGTTTGGGAGTGAGATGGGCTTAGCCAGCTGGCTGGCATCATTGGGGGGACCCAAGGAGCTGCCAACCCATGAAGAGCAGCTGTTTGGGCCGGAAGTCTTATCATGCTTCAGAGTGTGCTTTCCACTGACCAGCGTTTGCTGCTCTTCATGCACACACAGTGGCGCGAGAACCGTGGAAGAGAGTGTGGTCTGTCTAGGGCCATCGGAGGTGAGGGTGCCACCACCGTCCTCTTGCCTCTCACTGTGTTGTTGTCCCCTTGTGGGAAAGACAGTCTCTGGTTTACGTCTCATTTTAGTTTCCTTTTTATGAATTAATAATGTTTTTTTAAATCAGTTTTAGGGGCTCATTCAACTCTTATCACAAGCCATACATACATCAATTGTGTAAAGCACATTTGGACATTCATTGCCCTCATCATGCTCAAAACATCCGCTCTCCACTTAAGCCCCTGGCATCAGCTTCTCATTTCCCCCTCCTTCTCCGCTCCCCCCTCCCTCATGAACCCTGGATAATTTATAAATTATTATTTTTCCGTTATCTTGCCCTGTCCGATGTCTCCCTTCACCTACTTTTCTGTTGTCCATCCCACAGGGAGGAGATCACATGTAGATCCTTGTGATCAGTTCCTCCTTTCAACCCCACCCTCCCCCTACCCTCCCAGTATCACCACTCACACCAGAATGGTCTGAAGGGGATCATCTGCCCTGGATTCCCTGTGTTTTCAGTTCCTATCTGTACCAGTGTACATCCTCTGGTCTAGCCATATTTGTAAGGTAGAATTGGGATCATGATAGTGGGGGAGTGGGTGGGGGAAGAAGCATTTAGGAACTAGAGGAAAGGTGTATGTTTCATCGT